TGTGGTGATTGATGCTGGGGTTAAACCAGGTGGTGAGGAGGCAACATATTGCCTCTTTACTACCTGTCAAATGCCTCTGAAAAGCGATCAGAGCATGGATTGCTTTTCAGAGGAGCAGCAGTCCTTGCTGCTATCGTGAACAAGTCCTAAAAAGGCAGTTCTGAAAGGACAGGAATAGGGGGTCGAGATTAAAAGTAAAATACATATACACACACCTATAAAAACACACATGTACGTACACGCACACACACGCGTACATACATACGTATGTATACCACAACAATAAAACAAAAGCAAGCCACCAAAAATGACACCAATAATTAATGTCATAAGCACCTCTCCGACTCACTTATACAAGTGTGGATACATAAACCCAGGGGACAGCATACTAAACAATATGATAGTGTGACAAGAACACGCCTATCTGAAAAAGAAGGTTTCTAAAGGATCCACGCGGAGTAGTATGAATTCAAATGAATTAAACAATACTTTATTTGATCACATAGATCATGAGGAGGTTAAACATGAGCACGGTGTACATATGAAAAAAATAAAATCATGTTTAAAAACACTTAGCGTCTTCAATTGAGGGTCATCTTAGCCAACAGAGCACCATATAAGGTAGAGTGGTGTAATGATGGAGTAGTTATCCTGGATTTCCGTAGGTTTCCTGCTTAATATTGTATGAACCGTATATTCAGTGGATGTGTTCCCAGTATATATCGGGACCTCCTGGAATGTACAAGCTGGAACACAAAAAATACATAGTATGTATCTAGCAATATGGAAACCAAATCACATCCAAAAATTTACCAGGCCTCCCTCCACAATAGTCAATGGATACTACTGTTACCTTCTCAGAGGTGAGACTATCATACCCGCCTCTCAAATGTAAGGACTTCCTGGATAGCCACCCCAAATGGAACAAGGTCCACAGTACAAATGATTCTGAGGATATACATAGAAAAAGATAATAAATGTGTAGAACATGGGCATCAGGTAACCCCGAAAACAAAACACACATAGAGATGTGGATATATTACCATCAATGAGGATCAAGAAGACTCCTGTCGACTTGAACTAAGATCAGGTCCTTGATGCTTTTCCAAAAATGCATATGGGGGTGAGGGACCAGGTATACACGATGCGTGGATTTCAAACACATATAGTGTGTATATAGCATATAGCAGGCCGTAGATACCTGAATTTAATATACCCAGTAAAGGGTTTTCCAAAAAATGCTCAATTTGAGAAGGTTATTTGCGGTTTTTATAAGGATGTGGCTATGTCACAGCAAAAAAATACCTGAATAGGATAGCGTATAATTATATATATATATATATAGTATATATATATATATATATATATATATATATATATATATATATATATATATGTAGATTCTCCTCCTGAGAGGATTTCCAAAAAATTCCCCGAATATACAAATTAGGCCCATACAACATGCCCTATGAACACCATGTAGGCTCTGTAAATCTCAACAGACATAAGCTTTTGAATAACTTGCCACCGGTGGGAGATATATTTCCCTGAGGGATTGCCGTTTGCGAACCGCTGTGATAATAGCCCACTGGTAGTTCTCAACAGGTCTTGGCCTACCTAACAGGGAGCTGTGACACCGCCGTTCCTTCCCGCCTCGTGGGCGCCGCACCCTGTGAAGACGCCGAGCGTAGTGACGTCAATACGTTGACGCATTTCGTCCGCCAATCACCGCAGACTTCGTCAGAACTGGGAGGGGACTTCAGTCCTTTGCCTTATATGGTGCACTAATTGCATACCAAAGAGTCTCCACCTCGCCATCTTGTGTTGAAAGAATATCACTACATTAGGAATATCCAAAAGTGAATTAAAACATATATCTTGAATTTTAAAATGATTGCTGGATGTGGAAGAGGAGCCTAATTACTATGGATCAAATCCTCTTCCAAGAGAATGATAAACCGGAGATTATTGTTAGCATATTTCACTTTCACATAGGGAAACATCAAAACCAAATACAGCTACCAAGATTTCAAAAACAGTCCTATTGTTCTATATGCTCACCACTTAATAAGAGTAGAAAGAATTGAACAATTAGGTTCATATTTTGTCCACAGAGGCCCATATTTAGTGCATATATAAGGTATCGCAATGTAGATTATAACTCAGGGTATATAAAGAGTTCAAGGGAATTTATTTCAAAAACACCCCAAAGTTAAGTTCTGTGTTTAGTCCAAATGGGACAAGTGCCCCTAGGGTATAGATCCAGAATTTTTCTTTTTGTAGGAGGACTTTATCAAAATCCCCCCGACGGGCCGAAATATTCAGCAGGAAGATCCCTTTTACTTTTAGACCGTCTGTTTTGCCCCCGTGTACTTCTTTAAAGTGTTGCGCCAATGGGTTCACTTTTTCTCCCTTTCTTACATTCCTATTTTCATTTCTAATGTCCCTCAGATGTTCACCAATCCTAGTCCTAAGGCTTCTTTTGGTTTTACCTATATAAATCTTTTTACATGGGCATTCTATCATGTATATCATTTTACTACTAGAACAGTTAATGAAGCTTCGTATTTGAAATATCCTAGAGTTATCATTGTTGAAGAACTGATTAGACTTATGTACAAATGGACAGATCTGCCAATGACCACATGGAAACATACCATATACACCAGTCTTCCTAGTTAGCCAGTTTCTCTGTGGTGCCCTCTGAAATTCTGATTGTACTAATATATCATTTAGATTCCGAGTTCGTTTTGCCACCATATGGGGGCTCTCTCCTACCACTTTCGCTATCTGCGGATTTTGAATTAGTAGATGCCAATGGGAGTCCAGGGCCTTCTTGACTTCATCCCATTGTTGTCCGAATTTAGTTATGAATCTTACCGGTTGGTTTTCAGTATTCGCAGCTGCCTTTGGTTTTAATTTATTAATTAGTTCCTCTCTTGATTTACCGAGGGCTCTTCTTTTTGCTCTTCTTAGGGTTCTATGTGAATAGCCCCTCTCTCTGAACCTTTTGTAGAGCTGGATAGATTCATGTCTATATTCTAATTCTTCTGTACAGTTTCTTTTTATTCTCTGGAACTGACCAATTGGGATTCCCTGTTTTAGACTCTTTGGATGGTAGCTATTAGCATGTAGAAGTGTATTGGCCGCTGTTTCCTTTCTAAATGTTTTAGTGACCAGTTTATTTTCGTGGACAAAGATTGACAAATCCAAATATGTTATCACCTCTCTATCCACTGTATAAGTAAGTTTGATATTTCTATCATTCTTGTTCAAAAATTCCATAAAGCTTTTAAGCTCATCCATACCTCCATCCCATACCATTAGGACATCATCAATGTATCGCAACCAGGTTATTGCATATTGTTTATAGGGAGTGGAGGGATATACTAGCTCCTCTTCCCACATACCTAGATGTAGACATGCGAATGCCGGGGCCCTACGGAAATCCAGGATAACTACTCCATCATTACACCACTCTGCCTTATATGGTGCTCTGTTGGCTAAGATGACCCTCAATTGAAGACGCTAAGTGTTTTAAACATGATTTTATTTTTTTCATATGTACACCGTGCTCATGTTTAACCTCCTCATGATCTATGTGATCAAATAAAGTATTGTTAAATTCATTTGAATTCATACTACTCCGCGTGGATCCTTTAGAAACCTTCTTTTTCAGATAGGCGTGTTCTTGTCACACTATCATATTGTTTAGTATACGTATGTATACACATGCAGCAGTCTGACGGCTCCCAGTGCTGACGTACAGTGCGGCTGGGGATTGGGAGCTCGGGCTCAAGTGACAGCTATTCTCCCCATGGCACCCCTGAAGACCTCTGGCAGCACCCCGGTTGAGAGAGGCTGTACTACATATTCCCCCACTTGAATCGGTTCTGTCGAGAAATGATCCATAAATAGTGAATATCAACTAGAAGGGTTGCATTGTGATTTCAGGTATTGAATGCTTCATAATGGCTCGTATAAAATATGAAATTGAAACGTTACATCTCTTTTCACGAGCCTCTAAAATTTCCCCATGAATCAGTTATTGAATAATATGACTTTAGACCTTGACAAGCAAAGGATTTGGTAAAAATCAGTGGCCCATATAGCTGTAAGACCTATTTCATGGCTTGAGCTTTCTTCAGTATATCACACCCAAGATCTTGAGTATTGCGTAATGATAAGCTGACATCACAATCCAGTCCTGTGTTTGACTTTAGTACACGAGTCATCTTTCACAATCTTACTGAAAGTAATGCTTGGTCCACTGAAAGTAATTGCTCCAATCCACATAAATCCAGGATTTTCTCCATTCATTATACTACAAAGCACAATCGTGCTTGGGTTATGCAGCAGGGGGTTCAGGGGGCAATTGCACATAGGGCCTAGCAGGTTTGGGCATCTTTCCCATCCCCTTTTAATAAAGGAAGTAATCATTTAAGAACTGCATTTTGTATTTACTCAGGTTATCTTTGTGTAATAAAATTTGTTTTATGATCTGAATCATTTTAAGGGACAAATATGCAAAAAAATCAAAAAAATTCAAAGGGGGGCAAGTACTTTTTCACAGCACTGTATATTCCTGTTTTACGTAAATGTTTTTGGGGAGGAGATGTTTTTGCATCTGTTGGGGGTTTTTTTTTTTTTTTGTTTTGTTTTGTTTTTGTTTTTTTTTTCTTCTTGGTCTTGACATTTCACCTACAATATGTATTTTTAATGAAGACTTCAACCCTCATGTTGATGCTCTTATTAATCAATATTAGGTTTATTATGCTAGTCTGCAGCATGTGCATTTGGATCATGCTTCCTAATGTTTTCTTGGCAGAGGTGTTGGAAAAACCCCAGACCTGAATGAATAATGTGAGGCAATCTTCCTTTTGTCTGTGCCTGGCTAATTATTCAGAGAGGTGCCAGACTGCCCTGCAGAGTGCAAATTGAAGCCTCCACAACTTGTCAAGCCACAGGCTGGCATTAACAGATTTCTTTCTCAATGTTAGGTGTGGGGACTATGAGACTGGAGATTTTGAGCGAACACTCAAGGGACACACAGACTCTGTGCAGGATATCTCATTTGATCACTCTGGCAAGATGCTGGCCTCCTGCTCAGCTGACATGACGATCAAGCTATGGGATTTTCAAGGATTTGAGTGCATTAGGACCATGCACGGTAAGTGGGAACTACATTAACAGAATTCAAGTTGTGTTTAAAGACCAGTTATCCTTAAAAGATCAGTAAGTGCCATTGATAAATCTACATTAGTCAATTAAAATGTAGTTGACTTTAGGAGAATTCGTTAGTTTTATTGCTTGATGAAGGCATGAAGTTCAATATTTTGTATGCTTGTTAACTGTGCTGCCAACATAACTACTATACCAGCAACAGTGCCAGCCTGTAAAGAAAATTCCCAGCTGCTAAAGGTTTCCTCCTTTTTTTTTTTTTTTTTTTTTTCTTTTTTTTTTTTTTTTTTCCTTCAGCCATCTTTCTATTAGAAGTGATTTGATCACTTCTACATGCTTATGAACATTCTTCTACCCCCGCCCATCCCCACCCCCTCACTCCTGCCTTCCTGTGCTGAGTAAGCTTCAACAGAATGCAGAGCCTAACTTAGTGGTCCCATGGGCACTCTAATGAACCTCTCACTTGTGCTATGCTTTCAGCCCCATATGTAGAAAGCGAATGTGTAAAAAAAAAAAAAAAAAACACCCTCTGCCCCCCCCCCCCCCCCCCCCCCCAATTCCCTGATAAGCACATAACATAAAAGCATTACCTTGACTAAATGGATGAGCTGCAAAGGATTTTAAAGTGTCACCTATTGACAATTTTGTTTGACAATTTCATAATGTTTGTATGGGATTTATTCCACAAGCAAAAAAATTAGTGTTAATGTTTGGTTGGTACCTGCACTTTTTTTCTGTGTATTCTGGTGTGCCTACCCCTCTAAGCCCAGCTGCCACTTAGATGTGTTCCCAAATTCAGCGCTATCATGAATAGTATCAAAAACAAAAAAGCAGCGCTTACTGCAAATACTAAACAAACAAAAGTGCTAATTAATGTGCCGGCTAATCATATACGGTACTGTGCAAATGTTTTAGGCAAGTGTGAAAAATTCTGTAAATTAAGAAAGCTTTCAGAAATAGAAGTTATTAGCTTATTTTATCAATTAACCTAATGCCAAAAAATAAACTGCAGGACGGAAATCCAAAACAAATCATTATTTGCCTTCAAAACCGCATTAGTTCTTTTAGGTACACGTCATAGTTTAAGGAACTCCTAACATCTTGGAGAACTAACCACTGCAGGCAAGCCTGTTGGACCCCGTTAACACTAGTTTGTTTTCAAATCGTGGGCGGAATCGTCGCGATTCTGCTTGTTATTTGAAAACGCACTGTCAAAGTGTGAAAAAACGCGATCACGGTTTCATGCTCCGTTTATTTCAGTGGCACCTGAAAATGCAGAGCGTTTTTGCCGCAATCGCAGGCGTATTTTTCCGCACAGCAAACGCACTGCGATTGCGCAGACAAAATCACGGGACGCGCAACACCCAAAAAAAGGTTCTGTCGCGGCAAAAACAGCCTTTTTCAGGTTCCATTTAAATGAATAGCAAATGAAAACGCTATTGTCCGTTTTCACACTTTGACATCGCTTTTTCAAATCGCTGGCAGAATCAGTGATTCTTCCTGCGACTTGAAAAAATCTACTGTAAGCTGTGTCTCTGGGTAAAGTTTCCTTGCAAAGCGAAAAGCCTATTTTACCATTAGCAAATCAACCCCTTTGTATCCATTATGTTTACCTGATATCAGAAATATGTTTTGCTGTCAGTGGAAGTGAACATCCATATTGCTGTTCAGTGTGTTTTTGCAATTTTCTCAATGTGTGTATACCATCTACTGGCAGGGGAGCAATGCTATTTAATCATGTTATATATTGTGTTACCTATTGTTTTGTTTTTTTTTTTTTTTTGTTTTTTTTCTTTTGTGTCTAGGTCACGATCACAATGTTTCTTCAGTAGCTATAATGCCTAATGGAGATCATATAGTGTCAGCCTCAAGGGATAAAACCATTAAGATGTGGGAGGTTCATACTGGGTAAGTGTTTTGGCTTTAATTTTCAGCAATTGAAACACTACTGATCTTTTTCCCAGCTAATCTGAACATCCGAAAAAATATATATATTTAAAAATAAATTTTTCTTTTAAATACTTAGTTATTGTGTGAAGACGTTCACAGGGCACAGAGAATGGGTGCGAATGGTGCGGCCAAATCAAGATGGTACCCTAATCGCAAGTTGTTCTAATGATCAGACAGTCCGTGTTTGGGTGGTAGCAACAAAAGAATGCAAAGCAGAACTTCGAGAACATGAGCACGTTGTAGAGTGTATTTCCTGGGCCCCTGAAAGCTCCTATACTACTATATTGGATGCAACAGGATCAGAGGTACAGTGTTCCCTTATCTATCCTGCTAAACACTTTTTTCACTTTGATTGCAGAGCGGTCTCTGATATTTACTGTGCGGAAAACTAACTTTGATTACTTTAAGTTTTGTCAATTTCTGTCTTATGACACATTTCCTGGTTAGTTTCTCCTATTTAATTTTTAAAGTTCACGTTTGTTTTACTGACAGAGTTGTAGTTTAGTGCTGATATCTTGTCTGGTAAAATATTTATCTTAATTGTACTGGATTATAGTTTCATACCTTCAGGTGATTGGACAGTGGCAAGGCTTTTGAGAACACATCCCCTGGGTGCCTCCCCTATAACCCTACCCCACACTGATTCTGTCCTAAGGTGATGAACCTTTTCCCCTTAGCAAAGAAATAACTCTTGGCTTAACTGGTTTTTTTTTTTTTTTTTGTAATTTATTTTGAATTTCTTCACCAAATCCCTGCCTTCTAGTGCCCACAAATAGAAGAACCTATCTTTACCTTGGAAGCTGTACTCAGACCTAATGCTATGGGGATGGCCTGTAATGTTGCTTCGGGCTACCATACATTGACACCCACCTTGGCACTTTGTGCAACACATGCAGTCATAGCAGGGTGCTATACAGGTCCAGGGCCGTGGATCATCCCTATGGAACCCAGATCCTGAATGCCCACCATGACAGCAAAGCCTGAACTTTATATATAGTCCAACATTGTAGACAGGGTCCATGCTGATACTGTTAAAGACTAGAGTGATATTTCAGCGATTACTATAATGTAAACATTTCACAATTTGGTGCAAAAACGTAATCACTCAGGGCTTATTCTCAGTTGGATGACCAGATGTGACATCCACATCACAGGTAGCAGAGTTTACAGCCACTCCCACCTAGATCTCTTACATGGTACTCAGGTTCTTCTTCCTGTCTCCATTTATTATCTATTTCAGGTACCTGTATAGCGCTGTACACACACACACCCCCCCCACCCTCAAGGAGCGTACAATCTAAGGTCCCTAACTCACATTCATACATACACATACTAGAGCCAATTTAGACAGGAGCCAATTAACCTACCAGCATGTCTTTGGAGTCATAAGTCTACTTTCACACTGATCCATAGTAAACAAGTGCTAAAACCGCATATGTGCTATCGTATTAAACAGGACATGTGGCTCAAAATGCAACAAGGTGGTTTTTTTTTTTTTGTTTGTTTTTTATGTGCTCTTGCCTCGTTTTCCATGCATTTCAATGAGAAAGTGTTTGTGTTTTTTTTTTTGTTGTGTTTTTTTGAACCAAATGAAACTTGCTCCAAAAATGCAGACAGCAGTATTTTTACAAAGCACAGCAGACCCACAACTGATCAGTGTGAAAAGTTCCATAGGATTGCATGGCCACACGCTTTTCTTCCACTTGTGTGTTGTTTTTTTTTTTGTTTTTGTTTTTTTTTTCAAATCTCGGTAGCGAAAGAAAAACTGATCAGTGTGAAAGAAGCCTAAAGATTTGCTACAGGGCAGTCTACATCGATCAGCCATAACATTATGACAACCCACTATAACCCATCGAAGCATGGACTTCACTAGACCTCTGAAGGTATGCTGTGGTATAGCCATCAGTTGCAGATCCTTTTAGGTTTGCAAGATGGGGCCTGCATGGATCTGATTTGAGATCTGGAGACTTTGGAGGACAAGTCAACACAAACTTGTTGTGGTCTTCAAACCATTTTTGAATTCATCCGACAAGGCTACCTTCTTCCAATGCTTTTGGGTTCAGTTCTGATACTCGTGCCACTTTTAAGGAACTTTTGGCTGTTGACACGATTCAGCATGGGCAGCCTGACCAGTCTGTGGCTACACAGCCCCATATGCAACAAACTGCGTTGTATTGTGTGTTGTGACATCTTTCTGTCTGAATCAACAACTTTTTCATCATTTTGAGCTGAAATAGAACCTCTATTGGATCAGATTCAATGGGCCATCCTTTGTGCCCATATGGCCGTCCATGACCCTATCGCTGGTTCACTGGTTTTCTTCCCTTGGACTAATTTTGTTTAGGTCTTAACCACTACAGACTGGGAAGACCTACAAGATCTGCAGTTTTGACGTTGATCCGACCTATTCATCTAGCCATTACAATTTGGTCCTTATCACAAGTCGTGAAAATCCTTATGCTTGCCCATTTTTTTCACTTGCTGCCTAATATAGTCAAGCCACTTTCAAAGCCATTGTAACAAGATGATATTCACTTCAACTTTCAGTGGCCATAATGTTATGGCTGATCGGTGTATATGCAAGTGGCTGTGTTCTCCTCCTGGGAAAGTTTACCTTGTATTCTGCATCCTTCTCCATGAGTACTCCCCATGGGAATACTCTCACACATAGCTATGGCAGACCAGGCAAAAGGGAGCAGCTGCAAAACCACAGATGAACATTCGCTCTGCAAAAGGTCCACATAACATTCAGCCTGTGTTCACATATGTGCGGTGCGGTATACAATTGTGCTAAAAAGTTTGCATACCCTGGCAGAAATCATTACATTTTGGCATTTTAATGGACAAACGACCCCTCATCATCCCAGTTGCCCCACAGGAGACCTCCTAAAGGAGTGGGTATGCAAGGTTCTGCGATTAATTTGAGTTTGCTAGAGATAAATGAGAAGTTGATAATAGCCCCAGAAGGCATCTGATACTTTGTCAAAAAAAACTGGAGAGAATGAGGACTGAATCCATCCAGGTATCTCCGATACGCACTGTCTTTCATTTTAAAGATAGTGATCATATGAAGCCATTTATTATCACATAGTTGTTTTGGCTCCTTTTTAAATCATAATGAAAACAGAAATCATCCAAATGGCCCTGATCAAAAGTTTACATACCCTGGAATGTTTGGCCTTGGTACAGACACACAAGGTGACACACACACGTGTTAAAATGGCAATTAAAGGTTAATTTTCTACATATGTGACTTTTTACATTGCAATTAGTGTCTGTGTATAAATAGTGAGTTTGTTAGCTCACAGGTGGATACACTGAGCAGGCTAGATAAACCATGAGATGCAGGAAAAGTACTGTCGAAAGACATGGTTAAAAAGGTAATGGAACTTTACAAAGATGGAAAGGGATATTAAAAGATATCCAAATCCTTGAATATGCCAATCTGTACTGTTCAATCACTTATTAACCACTAGCCTACAGGGCACTTATACCCCCTTCCTGCCCAAGCCAATTTCCAGCTTTCAGCAGTGTCGCACTTTGAATGACAATTGTGCAATCATACAACATTGTACCCATATAAAATTTTTATCATTGTGACAGAGCTTTATTTTGGTGGTATTTAATCACCTCTGGGGGTTTTTTTTTTTTTTTTTTTTTCCTTACGCCAAAAACCACTGAGAATTTTGAAGAAAAAAAAGTTTTTTCTTAGTTTGTTATAAAATTTTGTAAATAAGTGATTTTTCTCCTTCACTGATATGCGCTAATGAGGCTGCAGTCATGGGCACTGATGGACACTGATGAGGAGGCATGATGGGCTCTGACAGGCATCGCTGATGGGCACTGAGAGGGATCACTGATGGGCACTGTTAGGCGGCACTGACAGGCGGCACTGAAAGGCAGCTCAGATGGGCACTGATATGTGGCATTGATGTGGACTGGTAGACACTATGTGGCATTGATGTGGCACTGAGGGGCACTGGCACGAGGCACTGATGAGCACTGACAGGTGGCGCTGCTGGGGCTACACTGATCATCAGGGCACACTGTTCATCAGTGCCCTGATGATCAGTGTACATGCCCCCTCCGCGGAAAGCCGATTACCGGCTCTCCTCTCGAGCTGTCAACGTGACAGCTCGAGAGGAGAGAAATGCTGATAACCGGCATTTCCCTGTTTACATGTGATCAGCTATGATTGCACACAGCTGATCACATGACTGAGCCGACATCTTTGGCTCTTTTCGTGATCGTTGATCCGCTGTGTCCGAGGGACACAGCGCACCGCCGCACTGCGTGCTCCCTGAGCCGCGCGCATGCTCTGTGAGAATGGGAGGACGTCATATGACATCCTCCCAGAACGAGAGAACCACCTTGCGTCCGTCATATTACTATATGGTGGGTGGGAGGTGGTTAAAGAAGTGGAAAGTTTGGGGATCTCTTGATACCAAGTCAAGGTCAGGTAGACCAAGGAAGTTTGCAGCCACAACTGCCAGAAGGATTGTTTGGGATACAAAGAATAACCCAAAAAGTAACCTCAGGAGAAATACTGGCTACTCTGAAAAAAGATGGTGTGGTTGTTTCCAGGAGCACAATATGACAATACCTGAATAAATATGAGCTGTATAGTTGAGTTGCCATAAAGAAGCCTGCACCAATGCTACAAAAAAGCCTGGTGAGGCGTGTCAAGATGTTAGGCATATTGTAACCAGGCTTTTTTGTGGCATTGGCACAGTAAAGGCTTCTTTCTGGCAACTCAACCATACAGCTAATGTATGTTCAAGTATTTTCGTATTCTACATCAAAAATAAAAAAACCCAATCTTTTTCCAGACCATCCTATAACTTATTCTGAGGTTGCTTGTGGGATTTTCTTTGTATCCTGAACAATTATTTTGGCAGTTTTGGCTGCAATCCTTCTTGGTCTACCTGACCTTGGTTTGGGATCAAGAGATCCCTAAACCTTCCACTTCTTAATTGCTTGAGCAGTACTGACTGGCATATTCAAGGCTTTCGATATCTTTTTGTATCCCTTTCCATCTTTATAAAGTGTCATTACCTTGTTGTGCAGGTCTTTTGACAGTTCTTTTCCACTCCCCGTGGCTCAGTATCTAGCCTGCTCATTGCATCCACCTGAGAGCTAACAAACTGACTATTTTCTATACACCGACACTAAAAGCAATGTAAAAAGTCACAAATGTGAGAAATGAATCTTTAAGTGCAATTTTAACCTGTGTGTTGCACCTTGTGCGTCTACACCAAGGCCAAACATTCCAGGGTATGTAAACTTTTGATCGGGGCCATTTGAG